ATGAGCATGGGTGAGCCAGTGCTCGAGTCAATAGAGGCCGAAGACGATGTTTCAGCTAACGGCGTCGGAGCAAATGGTAGAGGTTGTGAAGAGGCATGCTCGTCATCGAAAACCCAAGCACTGGTAGGTGGAGGAATAGACGAAGAATCTGAATGCGGCGGAGCAGACTCATGATAAGGGAATTCATCTTCAACAAAGACAATATCACGAGATACAAGGAAAGATTTGGTTTCGAGATTGTAGACCCGCCAACCTTTCTGTCCCAAAGGGTAACCAACGAAGATACATCGAGAACTCCGCGATGCAAATTTATCCCCTCCACGATTCTGGTTATGAACATAACATAGGCTTCCGAAAATACGAAGATGATCATATTTTGGCGGATGACCATGTATGAGCTTATAAGGCGTCTTTCCATCAAGAACAAAAGACGGTGTTCGGTTGATAAGATATGCAGCCGTAAGCACGCTTTCACCCCAAAAATCAACGGGAAGATTCGCTTGAAAAAGTAAGGCGCGAGCAACATTTAGGATGTGACGATGCTTACGCTCAACTCGACCGTTTTGTTGTGGCGTTCCGACACACGAAGTTTCATGCACAATTCCCTTTTCTGAGAAGTAGTTACGAAGACTGATGAATTCCAAGCCATTATCCGATCGAACTATTTTGACAAGTGCACCGAATTGCCTTTCTACCATTGTCATAAAGTTTCGGAGATGTCGTTGAGCTTCACTTTTACTAGTCAACAGATATATCCAGGTTCCTCGGGAAAAATCGTCCACAATAGTCAGAAAATATTTGGCACCTGAGTGAGAAGCTTTTCGATACGGACCCCATAAATCACAGTGAATTAACTCAAAAATTGCCGAAGCTTTACTCATACTCATCGGAAAAGAATCTCGAGTCTGTTTCGCTCGGAAGCAAACATCACAAGCTTTATTCTCAGAACAACTATCGGAAAAAACAAAATCAGAAATCTTTGCCAGGACTTTAGATGACGGATGACCCAATCGTTTGTGCCACAAATCAAAGGACTGCACTGCCGAAACTCGAGTTGCGGCCACGGTTTCTGATCCCCGAAAGTAATACAGTCCTGCTCGTTGTTCACCCGCTCCAATCACCATCCTAGTAATACGGTCTTGAATCACACAGAAGTTATGAGCGAAAGTGATAAAACAACCAGATTCCGCCAACAACTGAGAGATGGATATCAGGTTGCAAGGGAGGCCCGGAACATAGAAGACATTGGACAGACGAAGAGTGCCAGACAACGAAACATATCCTGAATGAACCGCGAAAACTTGTCTGCCATCCGGCAACGTTACTGAGCATGGAGACATTGTAGTCACAGCAGTTAAAGCAGACAAAGTCCCTGTCATATGTTGAGAACAACCGGAGTCAAGGATCCAAGAGACAACAGAGTTCTTACCGGATAATGTCTCAGTCGTGCCTACGTTGTTGGCATTGATCATAGCCATCAAGGTCTGCCACTGTTCTGAAGATATGCCACTGATGATGTTCTTATCACCCTCTAAGACAGGAACTGACACAGAGTTAGAAGAATGCGTGACCTGTGCAGCATTCGCGTGAGCATAGGTACCACGACCTCTGCCAGTGACGTTCGGAGAAGAAGAAATCATGCGACGTTGAACTACGACGGTTGCATCGGTCGCTGTCTGTTGATTCATTGTCGGAATCGGAATCGGAGTCGGAATCGGGGTCAGATTCGGGGTCGTGTTGTCGGTGTCGGTGTCGGAAGACATAGATCAGAAGCGTAAATCGAAGAGTAAGGTGTCGGGCTCTGATACCATGACACGGTTTGAGCCGTTATCTCCAAGAAATCTTCTCTGTTCTATTCATACGTACATGTCTGCGTTTATGTATTGACCAAGACTAACATCTTAACCTAGCTATACAAATAGAAATGTCGAATGCAATATGGAAGTTGCCATATAGGCATAATACAGCTAGATATTCCCCAATATCATATATTTCAGAAATTCAGTTCAAATTGAGTTTCAACCGTCAAAAAAGGTATAAATCTGCAAGTATCAGTCAACAATATATATTACTGTCCGTTTGGTCGTCCAACATTAGTTTATGTACGTAATTTAAACTGGAATGTAGATATTATTGTCAGTAAATAATTTAATAATTTTAATTTAATACAAATAATTATAGAAACAAAGGGCAAAGCAGAGGCAGCAACTGAGATATTGTTTCTGACGACCGAATCTTCGGCCACCCAAATAACATTATAATACATATAATATATAGACACACACATAAATATATTAAACTAAAAGTTGTTTTCCTCTTTTACTTCATTATCCACAGCTTTCCACGTCATCACATACGTATATATATATATACATGTACACATATACACATTATACAGGTACGTACGTACGCGCGTGTGTGTATATATATATATATAGCATAATCTATTATGTTCTGTTATATATGTTGAATGGACTCGTGGTCGTCGTACTCAGTTGTAATGTACGCACGTACTATGTTTTCATCTGCTTAAAAAAGTATTTAAAATTTGTATCCTGAATTGATCATACGCAATGATTACGAATATAAGGTGGATCGCATGTAAAGATGGATAGGTCATGGGAAATAATATATGGTCTAATTGTATGAAATACTTTTTTTATTTCCTTGGCAATCATTACCATTGGTTGTCATTATTATTAATATCATGAGCAAAAACATTCACTCCTTTTCAAATTATAACAAAACATAGACACATTAATTATAATCATTTAAATACTTTTCCTCTATTTTTTTATTTAAAACATCTTATAATCTCATAAGTGGTTTTTAATATAATAAATATAAAAATGTTATTTAGTTAGAATAACAAATTTTAAATCCTCTATACCATAATAGTGTACGTTTAGTTAGTTCCCTTTTGAACTACGTAGAAGAAAAAAATTAAATTTGTTGGAGAAAATAGATGTATATTTGTTTTAAAAAAAAAGAAGAAAAAAGACACGTGGCAGGTGGGAGAGTGAAGTGGGCCAAATGTGGGCCCAGGGAGGGACACGTGGGCTGAAGCAATAAGGGAGAAGAGGAGTCGGGAGGTCTAAAGCCCGTGAACCAGCGGCGACCCGCCTCGTGCGCCGTCGGTGCTTTCCCACGCCCTTCTTCCCTTTCCCTTTTAATTCCCTCTTCAATTTATTTATTTATTTTAAATAATCTACTATTTTTAGTGGTACACCGAACGTATACATACATACATACATATATATATATATATATAATTCTCTCATTTGCACATTGATATTTGTCACGTGTTCAAGTTTACTCCACACGAGAGCGAATGAGAATTATACTTTGATATTAGGATGTAAAATGGAGTATCAGTTCTTAGGTCATTGTTACATTTTTAGAATGGTAAATTCTTATTTCAGCTTGCTCCATATATTTTATATGAGTTTATCTAATTCCGCATTTATCGGATAAATATAAAAATCTGTAAATTTATGGTTTTTTTTTTTTTTTGTGGGTGGTGGGTTGTGTATTGTATTAGAGTGGTCGGGGTTAAGGGTCTCTTTGGGGATAATAAAAAAACGCGTTAGCGGTGCAGACGCAAACGTCGACGTCACTGTCATGATACTAAAAAAGATTTACAAAAGCAAAGGCCGTTTTCACTAACCCAAACAAGGGAAACTCTCAGAGACTTGGAGGTGGGATTCACCAAATACACTCCCGTCAACTTTTTATTATTTTTAATACAGTTGGCATCAATAGTTGAAAGGTGACAAAATCATTTTCAAAATCTTGGGTTCGATTCCACTAACAGAGATGGATATCATTTTTATACCAAAATGGTCCATATACAAAGAATGATTCCGAATCTAGGATGGAGAATTTAGTCGGGTCGAAGGTACGGAAAATCATCTTGATTATCAAAAAAAAAAACTTTATTATTATTTTTATGTTGTTTATTTTTGTCTTTTTGGTATATTGACCAACTTATGGTATTTATACAAAATATTATTTTTATTTAGATAACATACATATCTAAAATATGTAAAACTTGTAAACTATCCAAAGGGTTATAGATTCGATGGAGACAGTAATCGAATCCATACCATTTTGAAGAATTATGGATTCCCCGACTTCGAAGGGCAAAACTATCCGAATTTTGTTAAGTGGATACGAGAATTTTGACTAATTCACTTGGAAATTCAATGAAAACCATAAAAATTGGATATTTTAATACGAATTTACCGTTACTAAATTGGTAGGGCAAAAATTATTCTAAGTCTTTCAATGGTCAAGTTGTCTTATTACCAACGGATCATATGTAGCAACAATTTGGAAATCTATTTCCAATTTTTGATAATGTAATAGCCAAAAACTTTGAGTTAAAAAATATTTAATTATATGTTTCAATGTTGCAACAAAAAAAAAAAGGAGAGAAGACAAAAAGAACCTCCGAACAGGAAAAAGGAAAATCAAAAAGCGAAAAAGCGGTAAATTTAAAGAGAAATACAAAAAACAAAGAAAGCGAAATGTGATGAAAAGGGGAAATCCTTAGAGAAGAGACACCCTCGAGGATTTTGCTCATGTTCCCTCTAAAATTATCAAATTAATTAAAAGTAGAAAAAATAACAGACGATTTTATATCTATTTTTTATTACTCTATTTTAAAAGTCATCACCAAAGAATAATTTAAAATTTTGGAAAAAGAAAGTAATTTTCTTCTTTTACTTATAAGTTATTATTAAAAAAATTTAAAAATGTTTTTTTGGAAAGGAGGATTAAAATGACCAGGTAGCCAAACAGGTCTTAGTGAGGGGCGTAACAGTCATTTTACAGGCGAGAGCCCCTAGGCTCGCTCCTGCTGTAGTACTACTACTGCTAAAGTAACAACGGAACTGGTGAAAATTGGGATTTCTAAATGTAACCCTCAACCTTTCCTTTATTCTATTTCTCCCCCTCTTCTTTTATAAACCCCCTCCTCTTTCTCTCTCTCTCTCCTGTCTCTTTTCTCTCACTATCCGTTGAATCAAACGTCTCTCTCTCTCGAGGTTTTCTGGGAAGTTTCTCTCTCTAGAATCGTGGAGGTAAGAACATGAACGAGGGGTGGTGTGGACGCCATCACCGGTTATGAATCCTGAAAACCGCGGAGTTGCAGCGTCAGCAGCAGCAGCAGTACCCCTAGCTCAGCCGCCGCAGCCTCACCGTCCGTCCACCTCTTGCCTCCGTCACCCTGAGGAGCATTTCACCGGATTCTGCCCCTCTTGTCTCTACGAGCGTCTCTCCGTCTTAGAAACCACCGTCGCTTCGTCGTCGTCGTCGTCGTCTTCCAAGAAACCGCCGTTGTCCGCCGCTGCTCTCAAGGCCATCTTCAAGCCCTCTTCTTCGGGTGTTGGTAACAGTCATTGGGTCAGACCCGGGTTGTTACCAGAGCTCCGGAGGACGAAATCGTTCTCGGCGACGAAGAACGAGGGGTTCTCGGGTGCGTTCGAGCCGCAGAGGAGATCCTGCGACGTTAGGGTTCGTAACACTCTCTCGTCACTCTTTAGCGAGGACGACGAGCGTAATTCTCAGAAGAAAACAGGTGGGACCGGCAGTTTCGCCGGTGGCGTTAGCTCCAGTGGCGGGGGCGGGGGCGAGATTGAGGTGGAACGCAGAAATTCCAGCGTGAGAACGCCGGTTTACGAGGAGAAAACAGAGAGCGAAAGCGAGCACGAAGAGGAGGTCGATTATTGTGGGATTCTGAACGAACACAGAAACCAAATCGAACCTGTGGACGAAATCGTCGAAGAAGAGGAGGACGAGGAAGTGGACAAATCTCCAGAAGAGGAACCGAAGCAAGTGAAGGAGCATATGGAGTTCAATCCACAGACAGTGAAAAAACCGAATAGGGATTTCAAGGAGATCGCGGGGAGTTTTTGGTCCGCCGCGTCGGTCTTTAGCAAGAAATTGCAGAAATGGAGGCAAAAGCAGAAGCTGAAGAAGCACAGGAACGGACACGGCGGCGGATCGGCGGCGTTACCGGTGGAAAAGCCCATCGGGAGACAGCTCAGAGATACTCAGTCCGAAATCGCTGATTACGGCTATGGCCGGAGATCCTGCGACACGGATCCCCGGTTCTCCGTCGACGCCGGAAGATTCTCGCTTGATGCCGGAAGGTTTTCCCTCGACGCCGGGAGGATCTCCGTCGACGCCGGTAGGGTTTCGGTGGACGACCCTCGTTACTCGTTCGACGAGCAACGAG